CTATGATGCTGCTTGGCCTGCTGTGTTCATCCAGCCCTGCACCATACCATCCGGGAGTCTCGCTTGGTACCACAGAATCTCCTGTCTGTTTCCCTCACAGTCTCAGTAACAATATCTGTTATAATGTAACTTGTACCTGATTGGTATTATGAAATAAGTTGCATCTTGTGTAAGACAAGAGACTTTTACACTTCCTCGTGGTTTTCCTTTGCCATATTGCAAAAAGCAAAGCCTAACCTAAAAGAAAGATAGTGGCAGCAAATCTGTCTTACTGCAAACTTCAGCTAAATCATGTATTAAATGATGCTCATGGTAGTCATCAGAAAATTTAGTCTAGCGGCGCCACTGTAACATTGAAAAGTCATGTAAAAGGGACTGCTGTTAAAAATGAGTTAAATTCCCTGCATAGCAATGCTGTATCCATAATGAAATGGGAAGAGTAGAAACAATGATGTCTTGCAGTACCAGACATGTAAGAAATAATTGAGACATGACTACAACAAAGTTGGGTGTGGAATTTAAACATTGCGTGGTGTAATGTTTTTAGGAAAGACATACAGTGAAAAGGGAGTATCTGCTCTTTTTAATGTAAGTGTAATGGCAGTAGACACAAGTGAAACAGCTACCAGCAAGGTACATTTTTATACCAAGCAAGATGCCAATAATAGAAAATTAAATGAATGACATTTTGACTTCATTTTGACAAAATGGGTTGACAGGAGGAGGTTGGCCAGGATGTAATGCCCCTTTTAAAAAGTTAAAATGACTCATCATGATCTGTTTACTTTTTGAAATAAGTGAACTTGAGTTCATGTGATCACCTGATTTTCCAGATTGTGTGCATCAGGCCGTAGAAAGGGATTTCTTTGTTCAGTTGGGAAAACTGCCAGTCAGAGTAGAATGTTGGGAGTTCTGGTGCTTAAGCTGACAATCATTTGTGTTATATAGAATCACAGAATGGCTCCCTCTGTTTTATAGCCATTCAGCCTGTCACCCATATGCTTTCTTCAACAACAAATCAGCTCATCCCACTCCACTCCTTTATCCAGAGCCCTGCAAATTCTTTATCATCGGATAATTATTCCATTCCCTTTTGAAAGCCAGAGGCTACATGAAGAAAATTGTTGTATACAGTGACTAGTTGGACCCAAGAATGCACTTTGTGAGAGGTGAAAGCAGACCATATGACAATGATGGTATTGAATACGTGTTTGCAATACTCCTTTCTAAGTCCTTTGATGTACGATGAACCCCAGAAAGCTATTTTTGAGATATTGGAATGGAGCAAGATAATGACTTGTTAATGTACAACTGTTCAGCATTTGTATTTGTAGAAATCAAAAGAAAACTGAATTTGGGTGTACTTCTCGCATTGATTTTTTTAAAACTACTGATGACTTTTAATTGGAGGTGAAATTGAGGTGTGTTATAGTGAGTTGATGCTATGTAACAAAATTGATTTTTCTAACCCTTGGAGTAGAGTATAAGAGACTGTCATTTCAAATGGGTATCGCTGGTTTGGCCACCATTTTTTGCCCCTCTTAATTAATTTGAGAAAGTGCTGATGAGCTGCTATCTTGGTCCACCAGTTTATGCTGATAATTTGAGGAGTGTCATAATTTTGCTGATAGTAATTTGAGGATTGCGGAAAAATATTGGTCAGGACTCCAGGTAGGTCCTGTCATAGGCTTTTGAAGATTTTCCAGAATTGGTTGACAAACATTACCAAAGATTGAGATTCAGTGATGAACTAAGGGATGGACAAATAACAATCTTCAATTAAATTCTTTGTGTGAAGGATACATTACGGGTTGATGTTTCTATATTAGGGTGAAATTCTTCCATCTGTTTTAGAAACTGATGGTGTATTACAAAAATCTAACTCTGCAATTATCTTTAGGGCCTTAAAGCTTGGATACCTCACACAAGATTTGATTGATGACTACGAGCCAGCATTAATGTTTACAATTCCTAGACTAGCTATTGTCTGGTATGTATTCCAAATGTGGTGTTTTTAGTAAACATATTTTTTTCAACTGTATTACAAGTATGTGATCCAAATCTGTGTGAAGTTCTAATTTAGTGGGTTCAGAAAATGGTCAAGCTACCATCTGCATCTGATTGTTGAGCTCAGGCTTTCCTTGATCTCATCGTTCAGGAACAGCAGTTTGAATTTATCCAGCATATTCCAGTTGAGCCCACAAATCTCAGTGGGTCAGCCTGCCAAACAACAGTCAAACTCCGCTCTTGCAGATGAGAAAAGTCAGGAGTCAAGTGCCTCTTGTTGTTCCAGTGCACCACTTGGCATATAGATGCTACAGAACAAGAGACAGATTTGATTCTGGTTGCTTGCATGCCTCCTGATTTGAAGAGCAGTGCGTGTAGAGTAGACCTTGTGGAAGGTGGAGACAGCAAGTGTAGGACAAAATTTAGTGAACTGATAACTGTTTTCAAAAAAATTTCCATTTTTACTCTACTACTTTAGAAATAGAATATCATAATGTCAAACTATTGTATCTTAGTGACTGCAATATTGTAGCAATGTTACTTTGGCCAGTAATCACATGGAATATTACAATGCCAATGTTTAAGGTGGTAATCTGAAATTATTTCTTGTTACAGAGACACTTAGTTTAGACCATGTAATGTTGGAGCAGAAGTAGACCATTCAGCACATTGAATCTCCTCTGTCATCCAGTGAGATCATGATTGATCTCATGATCCTCAACTCCACTTTCTTGCCTTTTCCCTGTACCCCTTGATTCTTTTAGTGATTTAAATGTCTGTCTAACTTGGCCTTGATTCTGTTCAACAAACCAGTCTCTGCAGCTCTCTGCAATGAAGAATTCCACAGATTCCCACTCCTTTAGAGAGCAGAAGTTTTTCTCAACATTTCTTAAATAGGTGAACCCTACACTGAGATTAAACCCTGTAGTTCTACACTTTTCCACAAGGAGCAACAACCTCCCTGCATCTATCCTGTGAAGACCCCTAAAATTCTCAGGGGGTTCTGAAGAATCAAGAGACTTGAAACATTAACTCTGCTTCCTTCCAACAGATGTTGCCAGACCTGATGAGTTTCGGTATCAATATCTTTTTTTGTCCTTTAGAATGTGTCCCGTTTGAATAAGTATTCTCTCATTTTTCTAAACTTCAATGAGTACAGGTACAACCTACTAAGCCACCGCTTCTAACAAGATCTCTCCAAACCTGGAATTTAACAGAGTAAGCTTTCTCTGGTCTGCCTCCAATGCCATTTTGTCTTTCATTAGACAATGCAGAGCTTATAAGTATGCGAGACAAGTAAGCTATGCCTGAAGGATCAGAAATCAATCTGTTTGGCAACAAAACCAAAATGAGATGAAGATCTCAATCAAATTACAGGGGTATAGGTTTCTCTTCAGTTTCATGCTTCTGAAACCAGCTCATGCAGCCATTATTGAGCATATGGAAATGACAGATGAGAATTGGCCATTTGGTCCATTGAGACCAGCCCAAGGCTGCCATAGTTCAACTTAAGCACGTCCTGACCTCTATCTAGCTTTCCACATGTCCCCTAATAAACAAATCAACGATGTTGGTGCTGAACATGGAATATCACTGGCTTTTCTGGGTCCCTGGCATTAGCATGAAGCATTCTCAACAAGACACACGCAATAGCAAAAAGTGAAGTGTTGCTGATGTGTTGACATAGATAGAAAATTAAAACAGTCCACCTGTCAGGCAGAATGAGTGGAGACATCAAAATGGATTGGTGGCACAGGATAGCATTCCGATTAATGTGCTCATTACAGAAGGGTCCCCTGCTGCTCCAGTGTGATCATATGAATTGTGAATATCTGCTGCTGATGGGTATTTATTAACGCCTGCTGGAAGTATGTTTTTGTGGCCGTTAGTCAGTATAAAGCTCAGCTGCGCTAAATCTGCCAACAGTGATTATTTTTTTGACGCATTCTGCCCCCATATATCTTTATGGGGAAATGGCAGCAATTTGGCATTAAGTCAAAATGCTCACAGCTGGTGCAGACATGATGGGCTGAATGGCTACCACCTACTCCGTAATAACAGTGATTGAGATTTGATGACCCACTGTGTCATTAATGTCTTTGGGGAATTGTTGAGAAATCTGTGGGATCTGTCTTAATTGCAATTGCTATTTGTCATGTGCTGCAGCTTGTTCAACCACAATTTATCATCCATATTTGCCACATGTTAGTTGTGGATGTCGGAAATTGAAGATTGCCTGATTATTCTAACGTTTGTTGAAAACCATCATGACTTTATTCTGTTAGCAAGTCCCCTGCATCCCACACTTTGCCCCACTTCAGAAATAAAAGTTACTGGTCCCAGTCAGATCAAAAAGAATTAGGTGGTCTGGCCCAGAATCTTAACAATCAGCTGATATGCATGTACCATCGATACAAAGAAAACTGTTGGAAAGGTTGAAGGATTTCACATGTGATGTTAGATAATAACACTATAAATGAATCAATACAACACTATATCCCATCCCTAGACTTAGCGTGCTTGTTTTAAGGTATTTGGCAGACGGACACAGTGTTGGAGAAGTCAGCACCAGATACCTAATTTACAAGATTGTCAGCAACCTGCTCTGATTTCCTTGAACAGCTGTTATCCATATACCTGGAGCATTGCTAACTTATTCAATGTACACTTGCATTTATTTCTGTTTAAAGTCTCCTTATCCAAATTATTTTTTTAATTCATTCACAGAATATGGGCATTGCTGGCTAGGCCAGCATTTATCGCCATCAAATTATACACCAATTACTCACCATTTAATCTTTCTTGGTGTCTGTGTGTTGCCCCGAGGCACAGGAAGAAAGTTGTGCCAGATACTTAGATTTAGTAGACTTCTCACAAGTTGGTTTATCTGTTTAAGTGCGGTCTAACATTTTGAAGCATTCTTTGATAATTTCTAATAAAGCTTCTCCAAAATTTTTTATGAAGTGGTTTGTTGGTCTTCCCTGAGGGGCCATTGAACTTGGAACGCAAGCTAGAAGATATGTCTGACCTGTTTAGACCATTTCGCACACTGTTGCGAAAGATCAGGTAAGATTAACAAAAATCTTCATTTGCGTCATGTTTCAGATTGTAACAAGTGGCCTGTTTTGCTTTCAATGTGATCTGAATTAACTACTAAACAAAACTACTTGAAAATTAGTTTTATATGTTTTTTGTCCTTTTTATGCATATTAGTCTTTGATCAAAAATATCGATCATCGGTCCCTTGGCATCTCTCAAACCAGTGGTCGATGTTAACAAGAAGGCAATAGAAAAATTCTTCCTTTTCTTAGTCTAGTGTAGCAGGATGCAGTCGGAATATTTTTAATTGCTTAACCAGTTGCTCTGGGGTGCTTATATTGTCATGTTTTATAGAAATTCTTCTCTTTTCCTCTCTCTCCCCATTCCACGTTTATAAATGTAAATTTTAGATTTGTAATAAAATAGGCAACTTTCAAAGATGGTTTTTAGTAGTGATAAAGTGCTCCCTTGAAAAATATTTCTTCATTTCTTCTGATGTGTCAGAATGTAACAATGATGGACCTATATAAACTAAAGATTTTGAGGGAATGTGGATTGTAAGTTTTATAGCAACAAAATAGATCTTAGATGATTGACAGTTGTTTTCACTCTTGTATTTTCTTCCACTTTTGTCCCATCTTGTTCTCCTGTAACTGTCAGCTTATCAGTATCATGTGGTTCTACTAGTTTTGTATGCTGCAAGCTATCCTTGCTAATTGTTCATTTTTTCTTGTGCAAATGAATAGCCCACTTGAATGCAGATATGACAGGTAAAATTACCTATGCTTTAAACCTGCACAGTTTTGGTGGGATCAGTAGGTACTTTACAGGAGAGGGGTGGGAGTACAGATTTGATAATACTCATACTCTTCCATTTGCTGGCAACCAGCTACATTGTGGAATCTGATCTACAACCTTCCTGCACTTTATCAATTGCCTATTTATTGGCCTAATGAATATACAGTATTGGGACATTTGGGTATAGAATCATAGGATCTCTACAGTGTGAAGCAGGCCATTTGGCCTATCAGGTCCACACCAACCATCTGAAGACCATCCCACCCAGACCAACCCCCATACCCTATCTCTGTAACTCTGCATTTCATAGAACATAGAACATAGCCAATCCACCTAACCTGCACATCTTTGGACTGAGGAGGAAATCAGAGCACTTGAGGAAACCCACACAGACATGGGAGCAAGTTGCAAACTCCACACAGGCAGTCGCCCAAAGGTGGAATTAAGCCCGGCTCCCTGGTGTTGTGAGACAGCTTTGGTATCCACTGAGCCACTGTGCTGCCTCATAGTTTAACCAACATTCTGAGTGTTCTGCATTGAAGGCAGATCCTTGGCAGAAGTTTAATGTAGAGATTTAATCTAAATGTTGCACCAAAAGAGTGCACAATGTTCTCAAAGCAAATTAGTTCCACATTAGTATTCCAGAGAGCTATATTGTGTAATCTTCACCAATCAACCTTCTTTCCTGTAAATTGGATAACTTCAAGCTGTGCTTCCATGAACAATTTAAGTGATTTTATGATTTGCCTTTAGTCAATTTCTTTCCATGCTGTCAATCAAAATGAGCTTTTCGCATCAACTTACTAAATGCTTTATTCCCATGCTGAGTTCCAGTTCCATTACACTCTTATTTCCCAGTTTAATGTAATGTTGACATGTGACCTTATCAGTTTTTCAACTTTTTTTAAGCAGTAGGCCAGGTCAAATCAGGTGCTTTTGTTGGTCTTGGTTCTTGTCAGTTTTGAGTGTACTGACAGCTTTCCTTTGTATGAAAGGACTATCGACTATCAGTGCATATCTTCACTTCCTGGACCACCCATAGTAGCATAACACCAGGTATGACTAATAGGCAGAAATTTGCAGAGTATCCACCTATACTTTGATGTGCTTTGTCAGTAACATACAGCTATAAAGTTGATTTTTTTAAAAATTCATTCATGGGATGAGGGTGTTGCTGTTTGGACCAGCATTATTGCCCATCCGTGATTGCCCAGAGGTCAGCTATGAGTCAGCCACATTGCTGGGTAAGGATGGCAGTTTCTTTCCCTCAAGGATATTAGTGAAACAGGTGAGTTTTTCTGATAATCAGCGATGGTTTCATGGTTATCGTTAAACGCTTAATTCCAGATTTTTTATTGAATTCAAATTCCACTGTCTGCCCTGGAAGGATTTGAACCCAGAACATTAGCTGAATTTCTGGATTAATAGTCCAATAGTAATAGCATTAGGCCATTGCTTTCCCAGAAATCTGATATAAAGATAACTTTTAAGATAAATTGGGCTATATTTAGGTTTTCCTTGCCCATCTGTGGGAATTCTAATTCATTTTTCATTTAATAAATTATTTTCTCATGTTAACTTTGATGTCCTCTTTTTGTTTTCCTTTGATAGTGTCTGTCTCTTTATATGTTGTGCACATTTTTTCAAGTTTGATGTCTTTGCACTGTTTAAGTAACATTCGTGCCTCGTGTCAATCAATGACCATAGCTGACAAAAAGGATCACACCATTTTCCCCAAAGCATTCAATGGCATTACCATTGTTAAGTCTTATGTTTTCAACATTTTAAAGGTTACCATTAACCATAACCTGAACTAGTATGTAAATACTGTGCTGCAACACAGGCCAAAAGCTGGGAATTATGTGGCATATGATTCTCCTCCTGACTCCCTGAAACTTGTCCACCATCTACAAGGCAGCAATGGGTACAATCTATAAGATGCATTTCAATAACTTACCAAGCCTCCTTTAACGTTAGCTTGCAATCCTGTGACTGCATGCCAATGAAGGACAAGAATAGCAAATGTATGGGAATACCATCACATGCGTGTCCACTTCCAAGATATATGCTATACTCCTTTGAAACTTCACTTCACTCTCACTGGGTCTATATCCTGAAACTCCTTTCTGAACAGGGGGTATATCTACACAATTTAAGAAGGTGACTCATTAGACCTTCTCAAGAAGTATTGGTATTAGTCAATAAATGCTGGCCAAATCAATGATACACGTCCTATGAATTTATTAGAACAGTCATTTCTATAATATCAGTTCTTCTATATGCTTGTTTGTGACCTGAACTCAGTTAAAAATTATAGTTTAAAGACTAAATAAATAAATAAGGACTGTTGTTTCTAATCGAGCCCTGGCTGTTTATTTGTTAGCTTAAAGTTATTTTTTGCTCCCCTCTTTTCTTAATTTCAGTTGTTTCGGCTTCCCCTTGTTGAGACCATCGCTATATTTTATTTTTCTCACTTTTGATTTTGAATTGAGAGTTAGTTGAATGTTGAACAACAGCTTGTCTGTAAAAAAAAGTCAAAAGACAGATGTTTGCTGTTGGGAGCTGGCCTGGAAAGATAATAATACAGGGTTAATTACTGCTGTAAGGACACTGTAGACATTTGGGCTGCAGGATGTTGCTATGCTCAGGGACAGCCAGTCAAGGTAGGAACGGTGCTGGCCAGCCAAGCACAGAGAATGTTGAAAGGAAAAGAGAAGCTAAAGAGTGAATTAATTTTGACTGAGTTTGGGCAGGAGGCATTTTGTTTTGGAAGCTTCCACACTGGGACTGTTTTTGGTTTTTGCTCTCTGATCATTCTCTTGTTATTGACTTGTTGAAAATGGAAATTTCTAACAAAAGAATCCCAATCTGTAACAAATAGGTGAAGGTCTCCAGAGGTCTGTGGAAGCTGTTTGTATTGACCGTTAACATCAGAATTGAAGCAAAATATACAGTCCTTTATGCCTGTAAATCAACACATCCTCCAAGGATTTCATGAAGGCCTGGTATTCGTTGTCAAAATGGTTATCAAACTAACAAATTACATTTTTTTATTTTATCCCTTAATTGTGTCTGACTATCTAGTCAATGTGAGAGTGCGTTTTATAATCAAACAAGATTGGGCTTAGATCATAGATATTAACTAGATTGCCCTGTAGTTTATCTGTGTTCTGCTGAAGTTAGATTATTAATAATAAATTGTTACTTTTTGTTTAAGTTGTTAACTTGGTGCCCAAGGTCTTGTTGTAAAGTCTAGTTAGGAATAATTGAGCAATTTTGAGGCTCATTATTTCGATTACACTGTGTTGCAAAACCAGTGATAGTGAGGCTGATTTGGTTTGGCTTGCTATTCCTTTGCTGTCACACTACTTCCCTGCCTGTATTTAAAACCCCTTTTTCAACCCACTGTGGCCTTTGAGTCCCCATTTGTTCTCTATTGCCCAATGAAATGCTTGAGATTTCTTTATATTTTTACAGTATACATTAGTATAAATTAATTTCCATTAAGAAGCTGAGAGGAACAGATTGAACTGGTAAGACCATAAGACATAGGAGCAGAAATTAGGCCATTCAGCCCATTGAATCTGCTCCATCATTCAATCATGGCTGATAAGTTTCTCAACCAGACTCTTCCACTTTCTCCCTGTAACCCTTGATCCCCTTGACAATCAAGAACCTATCTATCTCTGTTTTAACCATACTCAATGTCCTGGCCTCCACAGCCTTCTCTGGCAATGAATTCCATAGATTCACCACTCTCTGGCTGAAAAAGTTTCTCATTATCTCCGTTCTAAAGGGTTTTCCCTTTACCCTAAGGCTGTGTCCTTGGATCTAGTCTCTCCTTTCAATGGAAACATTTGCCCAACATCCGCTCTGTGCAGGCCATTCAGTATTCTGTACGTTTCAATTAGATTCCTCCCTCATCCTTCTAAACTCCAAGTATAGACCCAGAGTCCTCAAACATTCTTCATATGTTAAGCCTTTCATTCCTGGGATCATTCTCGTGAACCTCCAGGGCCAGTAAATCCTTCCTGAGGTATGGGGCCCAGAGTAAGGTTATCCCTTGGTTATGAAAACTATTGTGCCCTGGAAATTTATAGCACATTAATACACATAGAAGTGTTAGATTTTCTGTATTTGTTACTCAATCAAAAGATTATGATTGAGTCCATTTAACTGCCTCCCCCAACCCAAAATTCTAATGAATTATTACCAATTCTTCGTTACCCACTAGGTGGTATATTTAAGTGATAGTGAAGAGCAATCACTTGCTTTTGTACCCCCCTCCCCAGTCTCACATCACAATAATTTTCTCCTTCCTTGTCCAAAACTGCAGATTTGTACTTCCTGGACATTTTAATTCATTGTATTTTGACACTTTGCTGATAATTTTATCAGAAAACTAATTTTTGGAGTTGCTGCATTTTCAGGTATCGGCGATATTTGTACCATGACAGAAATTATTGTAACAGACCATATGCTTGATTTGTTGTATTGTTTATACTTCAGATACACAGATGTTACTGAAAGATGCTAATGGATGTTAGCCACATACAAATGTGTTCCAGTTGTTGAATCGATGGTGCTTTGGCAAAACAGTAACATCAGTTTCTCCAAAGTAATATATGCAGTGCACAGTATCTTCGTAATTGCCTTGTTTCCCAGTGCAAGAGCTGATGTTTTATCTTTTATCCCATGTTCTAGTGAATGTGTACATAATGTATAATCTGCATTGATCGATGCTGCATCGCCTCAGATGATGCAACATCTTTAATCTACAGATAGGAAATAAAATCTGAGGCACAACTCCATTAATAATAGGCTAGGTAATATTGAGGACAGTAAAAGTGTTCAACCTCTGATTTAATTTTTGCATTGCAGAAAAAAAGAAATTGACACTTTGTTGAATCTTTTCATGATGCATTCATTATTAAAATTCACAAGAAATACCAAGGGGGAGAAAACATATGTATGATAGGAGAGTACTGATTAGAACATAGAACATAGAACATTACAGCGCAGTACAGGCCCTTCGGCCCTCGATGTTGCGCCGACCTGTGAAACCAATCTGAAAACCAATCTGATTAGTTGCAATGGAGAATACACCAATTAAATGATGACTGAAAATTAACTGTCGAGCTTTATTTGTGTTGTCTGCAGGCAGCTTAACTCTGATCAAAGCATTGCCTTCATAAATGAATTCGAAAGTGGCTGTCCCATTTTGTTGTACTGAGAATGAGTAGCGTGTGTCTATGTTCTTTCTATCTGTAAAGGCCAGCACCCTTTGTATTAACTGTATGTAGCTTCCAGTACTCTACATTGGAGGCTTGACTGAGATCTTAAATTGGTTGACAGGATAATTATTTGCACACTCACAATTACTTAGCATATGATGTCCCCTTGCAGAATCAAATCTAACGTTAAGAGTTTTGAGTTTTGCAAGTGCAAACTGTTTGGCTGCAGCCAGTGGCTGGCTTTGTGCAAACAGCCTTATATCTCTCACACACATATGCCACATTACTCATTTGTATGTTAGGTCAAGAGTCTTTTTGGCTTGATGGCAACATGCACTCATAATGCTGCTACATAGTAACAACATGAAGCAGCATGTTGCTCAAATATTTGAGATATCTTCCCCTTCCAGGGCAGTCTGAGGTTGACTGGGCTATTTAGCGAATTTATTCAATCATTGGAAGTGTGTGTGTTGCTGGCTGATCCAGGATTTATTGCCCATCTTTAGTTGTCTTTGAACCACAGCAGACCATTTGCTGTAGGTAGACCCAAAATTTTGACACTGAATGAATGATATATTTGAGTCCGGATGATGAGTGACTTGGAGGGGAACTTGCAGGTGTTGGTATTCCCCTATATCTGCTGCCCTGTCCTTCTAGATAGTGGTGGTTAAGAGTTTGGAAGGTGCTGTCTAATGATTTTTGGAAAATTTCTGCAGCGCATCTTATACATGGTAGCAGCAGTCTGTGTACTGAGTCAATGGTGGAGGAAGTGGATGTTTGTGGATGTGGTGCCAATCAAGCAGATTGTTTTGTTCTGGATGGTGCCAAGCTTCTTGAGTGTTGTTGGAGTTGCACTCATCCAGGCAAGTGGAGAGTATTCCATCACATCCCTGACTTGTGCCTTGTAGATGCTGGACAGGCGGTGGGGAGTCAGGAGGTGAGTTACTCACTGCAAGATTGGTAGCCTCTGACCTACTTCAGAGCGTATGTGATTAATCTAGTTCTAATAATCACCAAGTCCCCAGGATCTTGACAGCAAGGAATATGGCAATGGTAATGCCATACTGTAGAATACAGCAATGGTAATACCATAGAATGTGAAGGGGTGATGGTTAGATTCTCTCTTGTTGAAGATGTTTGTTACTTGGCACAAATGTTTAGGATCAAAATTTTTTTTTTTGAAGAAGGGTCTAAACCCGAAACGTCAGCTTTCCTGCTCCTCTGATGCTGCTTGGCCTGCTGTGTTCATCCAGCTCTACACCTTGTTATCTCAGATTCTCCAGCATCAGCAGTTCCCACTATCTCTGAATCAATGTAGACATAGTGGACTTCTTTCAAAAAGCTGAAAGAACTGGAAATCAGAAACAAAAACAGAAATTGCTCGAAACTCAGAAGGTCTGGCAACAGCTGGAGGGAAAGTAGAGTTAATGCCTTGGGTCCAGTGACCCTTCTTCAAAACTGATGGTAACTAGGAAAAGGTTGGTATTTATACAAATGATAGGTGGAGATAGAGCCCGAGAGAGAGAGAAACAATTGGACAGTCAAAGGAATGTGTCCAGGTCACTCTGGGGGAATGAATAGTTGCTAATGGGGACTAAGTGGCTGACAATGGGTAGTGTGTAATAGCAGCTCATGGTGATGACAAAGCCTCATGTTTGGGGGTTTGGATAAGGACTTTGGAGAAGGTGCCTCAAGCTCTAAAATAGTTGAACTTAATATTTGAAGTCCAGAAGGCTACAAAGCTCCCAAGCAGAAAATGAGGTACTGTTCTTCCAGCTTGTGCTGAGCTTCACTGGATCACTACAGCAAGCCTGAGACAGAGATGTTGGCCAAGATTCCATTTGCCAATCAATCGTCTCTCTCCTTCAAACAGTACAACTGTTGTTTTCCCCCATTTCATTGGTGGTAATGGGAATCATCCTGATGAGTGCAAAATGAAAAGCTTCAACAAAATGTCTTCATTTTTCAGAAAGACTCAAGTTCCGCACTACCAAACAATGTTTTAATTTTTCTTACAATTAGCAAAGTATTAGAGCAAAAACTTGTAAATTATTCTCAGCTTTATTTAATGGCATCCTACCATTCTTCATTCTTGTTTTCTCTCACCCTAATTAGGGACTTACTACAGACATTGACAGAAGATGAGTTGCACACACTTGAACGTAACCTGTGTATATCCCAGGATGGTGAATTTGCTGCTGATCCAGAGGTACCCTCTCCCATTCCTCCACCTGTGGTTCCTGATAAACTCATTCAAGATAAATTGTGTGTAAAAGCTGAAAATACAGAGGCTGAACTTGCATGTTCCATGCAGTATGATGAGGAGGAGCTGGAGCAGCTTAATTTAATGGTACACAGGGTAGGGGATGAAATGTCCTGCCTGCTCTCTCCACCAAGTGTCTGCCAGTCACCAGCTCATAAGACTGTACCAAAACATAATTGTAACCCAGAGGTCTCAACAAACCTCAAGCTCTCTGGTGCGAAACGTGAAGCTGAAGAAGAGGAACGGGTATTTTTCATGGATGATTTGGATGGTGCAGGTGAGACCTTTGCGGGAATGGACACTTCAAGGGAATCACTCACTTTAGTTCATGATTCTTGTCCACCTGATCAGGAAGACATGTTGTCTCTTTCACATGATGATGAAAGCATGGGGAAGGATAGTTGCAGTGAGCAAAATTCAGAAGCAAAAGAGGTACTACACAAACCAAGCAATAATGATTCACTACCTCTGCAAGGACAAGCCAATCAAAAGAAAAATAACACAGCAGAAATGTATTGTAACTGTTTGGATGCATCTGAATCCAGTTCTTACCTCAACGGTTGGACTGCAGGTACTGATGTACAACCAAGTGAAACTGCAGAAAAAATAGCACATAGGACTGGTGGAATGAAAATTTCTGCAACTGTTATCTTTAACCCCAAATCTCAGTCCATCTCTTGCTCCTCTGAAGCTGAGAGTATAATAAATTGTGACTCAGTCTGCTGTCAGGTTCCTTCAGATGACTCCCCGAAGCTATGCCCTGCTGACATGAAAAATGGAGTAAATCATTGTGTTCACCTCACTGTTACTCCGGATGATAGAGTTGACAACAGCTCTGAACCAGTGGAGGTCAGTTCATTGGAAGAGACTGTAGATGTTGCGGATTCTAGTTTTCTTAAAGGAGAGGGTCAGCCACATAAAAGTAACAGTGGATCACCTTCACAGGAGAGGACAGAGAGTGACAGTCCAGGTGAATCATGGACAGAAAGAGCCATCAGCAAACGGGAGCACAAAACCTCAAAATGCAAGTGCCTGGCACAGTCCTCAGGAAAACAGACAGAAAGAGGAGGGCAACAAACAAAAGTGGAAGTATATTGCCAGCAGCGAAAGATGGAAAAGAGGAAGCAGTCAGTTGGAGGGAAGGCGAGTAAAGAAGAAGCACACATTAAAGGCAGTGTGGTAAAAGATGAATCAGAGGAAGATGGGAAAGTACAAACTGTTTCTCACCTGTCAGAGGGCCACAGAACTAAGCAGAGGTAATTTCAGTTTCTGCTTAAGAGCTCCATTTATGGGTTGCATTTTTTTTTTGTTTCTTTGTTTTGTGAGGTGAATAAGATTTTGTTAATGGATATTTTCATGAATTTTGAAAAAATTATATATAATTCACAGCAATTGCATTTGTAATTTTGAATAGAATTTATCCAGATCTATGCTATGTAATCTTTAAAATATATTATCTCCAGGGTCACATGTTCTGGTAAAGTTGAAACTTTGAACAATGCATTTTTTATTTTTAAAATTAATCAATGTTGATTTTCCATATGGTTCTTAAAAATAACGTTATGGAATATTATTGACTTGTGAATTTAAACTGCCGAGGACCAGAAGTCTTTACACGGGATCTAACATTCCTTTTCAATATGGTGCTAATCCTACTTTGGTGTGATTTCTTTCACAGGTGACCATACGGGTGCTAATTATACATTGCTTAGCATGACTGAGGATTGATATTTAACATGCAGTACAGCAGATGGAGTGTGCAGAAATGCAGTTCAACACTGGAAACTGAAATCATATGCTTGCTCAAGATTTTATAGTTGGCAATTAGCATTGAAAAGCATAGCCACAAACCTCGTTATGTGCAATACTCTCTGAATATCCTTCAGCTATTGAAAGACTGTGCTTCTTTATATATGAATTGTTGACTTACAATCATTCCTTTTTTTTAGACTGGATTTGAGGTAGTATTTTTTTTTGCTGTCAATCAAATATTCTTGTGTTTATTTATGAGCTACCTGTGAATGACTGCTGGAGAAAATTGAGCAAGCAGGTTTACTGTCTAACTTAAAAAAATGACAAGAAGTTTCATGTCTGGTCACTGATATGGTCAGTGAAACCATAACTCAACTTTGAAACTTTTATGTTGATTAATTTGTGATGTTGGTCATGGAGAATTTTTTTAAAAAATTGTGGTAAGGTAATCAAAATCACCGACTGGAGTTGCTCATTCAATCCAGACATGTGCAAACTTGGCCCAGACCTGGGCCAAGGAGTGACAAATGGAGTTTAATTTAAATAAGTGTGAGATATTGCATTTTGGTAGGCAAATCAGGGCAGGACTTAGACACTTAATGGTCCTGGGGAGCATTGCAGAACAAGTGTTGCATAATTCGTTGAAAGTGGAGTTGCAGGTACACAGGGTAGTGAAGAAGGCATTTGGTATGCTTGTCTTTATTGGTTAATGCATTGAATATAGGAGTTGGGATGTCATGTTGTGGCTGTACAGGACATTGGTTAGGCTGTTTTTGGAATACTGCGTTCTGTTCTGGTCTCCCTGCTATCGTAAAGCTGTTGTGAAACTTGAAAGGGTTCAGAAAAGATCTACAAGGATGTTGCCAGGCTTAGAGCTTTGAGATATAGGGAGAGGCTGAATAGGCTTGGGCTATTTTCCCTAGAGTGTCAGAGGCTAAGGGGTGACCTTATAGAAGTTTATAATATCATGCGGGGCATGGATAGGGGTGAACAGCCAAGGTTTTTTCCCAGCATAGGGAAGACCAAAAGTAGAGGTCGTGGGTTTAAGGTAAGAGGGGAAATATGTTAAAGGGACCTAAGGGGCATCATTTTCATGAAGGGCATGGTGGGTGTATGGAATGACATTGCCAGAAGAAGTGATGGAGGCCGGTACAATTATAGCATTTAAAAGGCATCTGGATGGGTATATGAATAGGAAGGCTTAAAAGGATATGCTGGCAAATGGGCTAGATTGAGTTAGGATATCTGGTTGGACTGAAGGGTCTGTTTCCGTGGTATACAATTCTATGACTCTAACTCAAGTCCAGGCCAGTGAATGAACCAGAAATATTACTGTTTAAAGAATCTCTAGCTGCGGTAGAATGTTAGTTTTAGTTTTTGTGCCCATGATTCCTTAACTGTTGCCGTTAGTTTAGCTACGAATGCTTTGAAACATAATGAATGAAAGCTGTATTCAGAATGGGTGGAAAATTGGAAGATGTCGATGTAGGTGACTCAAGCATATCTTGTATACAGTTTTGGTCTCCCTACCTAAGAGAGGATATACTTGTCATAGAACGTGCACACCATAGGTTTACTAGCCTGATTGCAAGATAGAAGGGTGCTCCGGTTTCCTCTGTCAGTCCAAAGATGTGCCGGGTAGGTGAATTGGCCATGCTAAATTGCCCATCGTGTTCGGGGATGTGTACATTAGGTTGGTTATAGGGGGGATGGGTCTGGGTGGGATACTCTGAGGGTCAATGTGGACTTGTTGGACCGAATGGCCTGTTTCCACATTGTAGGGATTCTATGATCCATGAAAACATGGACCTCTTTCTTGAATATTTTCAATGATTTGGCCCCCACAGTCTTCTGTGGTAGAGAATTCAACAGGTTTATTATCCTTTGTGGAACGTTCTCCTCATCTTGGTCCTAAATGGCCGACCCCATATCTAGATACTGTGACCCCTGGTTCGAGACTTCCCAGACAGAATTAACATCCTTTCTGCATCTAGTCTGTCCAACCCTGCTGGAATTTTATTTGTTTCGATCAGATCCCCTCTTATCCTTCTAAACTCTATTGAGTATAGTCAAACTAATCTCTCCCGACAGGACAGTCCTTCTATCTTGCTATCAGGCTAGTAAACCTATGGTGTGCACCTTCTGTGACAAGTATATCCTCTCTTAGGTAGGGAGACCAAAATTGTATACAAGACATGCTTGAGTCACCTACATAGACATCTTCCAATTTTCCCACCCACAGAGACAGTCACCCCAGGGTGGACTCGAACCCGGGTTCCTGGTGCTGTGAGGCAGCAGTACTAACCACTTGACTCGCCGTGCCGCCCAAATTTATTTTGATTTTAAAGGCATCAATGGGTATGGCAGAAAAGGGAATATGACATTGAAATAGAGGATCAGCCATGATCATATGATGGCCTACTCCTGTTCCTAGTTTCAGCCATGATCATATGATGGCCTACTCCTGTTCCTAATTTCTATGTTATCCATTGAAACATTGGATGTTTTAATACAACCAAGTCATTTAGCTCACAATCCATGTTGACATTAATCCTAATTCTTGTCCTAATCACATTTATCCACTGTTTCCATATCCCTTTATCCTCTTTACTTCATCCACCAATCCAATTTAAGCTTGACTGTTGACAATAAATAGAAGTTGCTGGAAAAGCTCAGCAGGTCTGGCAGCATCTGTGAAGAGAAATCAGAGTTAATATTTCAGATCCGATGATCCTTCCTCAGAACTATTTCTGGTTTACAGCGTCCACAGTTCTTTTGGTTTTGGTTTTGACTGTTGACGTGTTTTCTGTGTCAATCACTGATGGAGAATTTTGCATCTCTATTTTAGACATTTTATCTTTTAACCATGCGTCAATGGTTTCTAATTCTTTACTTGCCCGGTGGAAATTTAGTCTGTTTCTGTACACTTTGCCCCATAAATCTTAAACGCTTCTATTATATTGTTTATAATCTTTCATAATGTGAAAAAACTCTTTCAAGATTTTCTTTAGATATGAGTTTTCTTAATCCAGGTAACATCCTACTAAATACAAACAATCTGAAACAAAAACAGAAAGTGCTGGAGAAACTCAGCACTTTTGGCATCATTTGTAGACAGAAAAACAGAGTTAAGGTTTTGAGTCCTGCAACCCTCCATGAGAAGTGAAAAGTCAAAATTGAAATCCAGTGTTGCACGCAGTATTCAGAGACCTTGAAGTTTGAGAGGTTTCTCATTACCTTCTTTGCTTTTGTATACTGTATTGCTTCTCATCAGAGATAATTCTGTTACCTTTCTTCCTTATGAGTTTTGCCATTCCTGCGGTGTTGTCTTTGTGTCCTTTATCACTTCCTATTCTGTTTTCTCTCTTTGCCTCTTTTTAAATTCAGATTGCCTCCCTGTATCTATTAACATGCTTCAAAATCATTTTTATTTTCTTCTATGCCTTTTCCTACAACCTATCCTGTTTTTCCTAACATTCATTTATACGCATCCACTTTATTTTCCCTATATGCCATGTTATCTTCTCCCTGTTCGCGGCCATCCCATTAACATTGCCGTCTCAAGCGGTCTTGCTAGTCCAAAATATATAGGAACAGATTTAGGCAATTCAGTTCATCGAGTCTGCTCCACCACTCGATCATAGCTGATATGTTTCTCAACCCTGTTCTCCTGCCTTCTCCCCATGACCATTGATCTCCTTACCAATAAAGAGCTTATCTAATGCTGTTTTAAATACGCATAATGACTTAGCCTCCATAGCCCTCTGTGGCAATGAGTTCCACAGCTTAACCGCCCGCTGGCAGAAGAAACTCCTCCTCATCTCCGTTCTAAAGGATCACCCCTTCACTCTGAGACCATGCCTTCAGGTCCTAGTCTCTCCCAGTGGAAAGAACTTCTCCATATTCATTTCATCTCGGCCTTTTCAGTTTGCTGTAAGTTTCAATTAGATTTCCCCCTCCCTCCAGCTGTCCAAACTACAAGTACATACCCAGAATCCTGAACTGCTCCTCGAGATCATTCTTGTAAACCTCCTCTGGACCCCCTCCAAGGCCAGCACAGCTTTCCTTAGATATGGGGCCCAAAACCGCTCTCCATATTCCAAATGTGGTCTGACTAGAGCCTATACAGCCTTGACAGTACATCTCTGTTGTTGTAATCTTGCCATCTTGAAATGAGTGATAACATTGCTTTTGCAATCCCAACTATCAACTGAGCCTGCATATTAACCTTCAGAGAATCCTAACGTAGGACTCTAAGATCCTTTCTGCTTCAGATTTCCAAAGCCTTTCCCCATTTAGAAAATAGTCGATGATTCTATTCTTACTACCGTCAAGTGCATAACCTCACACTTTGCCACATTATAATCTACCTGCCGTTTCTTTGCCCACTTTCCTTACCTGTTCAAGTCCTTCCGCAACCTCCTTGCTCCCTCGATACTACCTGTCCCTCCACCTATCTTTGTGTGATCTGCAAACTGTACCATTATGTCTATATAATCTTATC